AAGAGATTGGATTTATATCCCACCCTTCAGGAGTCTCAGAGCAGTTTACAATCTCCTTTCCCTTCCCCTCCCCACAACAGACACCCTGTGAGGTAGGTGGGGCTGAGAGAGCTCTGAGAAAACTGCTCCTGAGGGAACAGCTCTGAAAGAACTTGTAACTGACCCAAGGTCACAACAGCAGCTGCAAGTGGAGGAGTGGGGAATCAAACCCGGTTCTCCCAGATTAGAGTCTGTGCACCTAACCACTACACCAGACAAGAGTCCTAATGCCCTGTGTGTTCTGCAACTCGAATGATAAATGGGTTGGAACACTTTCCCTCTGAGGAAAGGTTAAAGCGCTTAGGGCTATTTAGCTTGGAGAAACGACGACTGAGGGGTGACATGATCGAGGTTTATAAGATTATGCATGGGAAAGAGCAGGTAGAGAAAGAGGTACTTTCCTCCTTTTCTCACAATACAAGAACTCGTGGGCACTCCATGAAACTGCTGAGCGGTCGGGTTAGAACGGATAAAAGGAAGTACTTCTTCACCCAAAGAGTGATTAACACATGGAACTCACTGCCACAGGAAGTGGTGGCAGCTACAAGCATGGACGGCTTCAAAAGGGAATTAGATAAGCATATGGAGCAGAGGTCCATCAGTGGCTATTAGTCACAAGGTATAGATAGGGACTCTGGGGCAAGTGATGCTCTGTCTTCTTGGTGCTTGGGGGGGGGGGTCAACAGTGGGAGGGCTTCTAATGTCCTGGCCCCACTGGAGGACCTACTGATGGCACCTGGTATTTCTGGCCACTGTGAGACACAGAGTGTTGGACTGGATGGGCCATTGGCCTGATCCAACATTGGCGTCTCTTATGTTCTTATGTAGTGCATCTGCGTCCCTCTGTGCCTACATGTGGGTTTGTCAGCTGAACTGGAGTGCAGGAGGCAGAAGAGGTTGATGGAAATACAGGCATAGTGGTTTAAGTGTAGAGCCAGTTTCTTATAGTGGTTAAGTGCACAGATTCTAATCTGGGAGAACCGGGTTTGATTCCCCACTCCTCCACTTGCAGCTGCTGGATAACCTTGGGCAAGCCATAGTTCTGTCAGAGCTGTTCTTGAAAGAGCAGTTTCTGTCAGAGCTCTCTCAGCACCTACCTCACAGGGTGTCTGTTGTGGGGAGCAGAAGGAAAAGGAGTTTGTAAGCCACTCTGAGACTCTGAGTGATGGGCAGGGTATAAATCCAGTCTCCTCTTCCTCCTCTTCCTCCTCCTCCTCTGGAACAGTAATTATCCAACCATGTGCCAGGCCCAGTAGAGTGGCTAGAGAAATTAATGACAACAGCTAAGGATTCCTATGATCCCTAAGTATCCATTCACCAAGGAGGCTATCTGCTGCATCTCAGCATGATTTGCTGTGTGCCCAATCAGTTTCTAGTGGGGAGAGAGTAATGTGCTGGGTTTCTTCTAGGCTCACCATTTTCCCCTCCCCCTGCTTTCGTGGTGGCAGGAGAGGGTAGCCCTAATTGCCAGGAACTCTGTAGTTTACCATAGAGTTACCAGTGATTTCTAGAGCTACCCTACATCACTTGCGGGTTTTCACCTGAAGTGCCACAGGGGTGTCTGTGATGTCACCCCCCCCCCCCCCCCCCGTGAACTTTCAACTAGTTGCTAGGCCAGTAGGGTTTCCAGTCTCTTCAGTGGAGGTGGGGTTGCCCCGTTGTCAGGCCCTGCCCCCCAGCTGCCCATCAGCTGCCCAGCAGGGGGACTTAACAGAAGGCCAAGGCCACATTGCTGGCATCACACAGGAAGTGAAGTCATCACAACAGTGACTTCTGGGGGACGGTCTGGTATTTGGGCAAAAACTCTATGGTAGACGTTGGTTTTACTATAGAGTTTTTGCTGGAATACCAGAGCAGTGCCCAGAAGTCGCTGGTGTGACGATGTCACTTCCGGTGCAACACCAGTATCATGGCCTAGGTAAGCCCCCCCCCCCCCCCCCCCCCCGTTTTGCTAAGAGGGACCTGGAACCCTAGCGACCTGGCTACCATGGACTCTGCCCAAATAGGCTAGTAACTGAACAGTGATTGCCGTGAAGAGAACCAGTTACCACACCTCCTGTCCTCACCCATAGGTAGGTCAGGTAGGGAAGAGGAGAAGGAATGATTGCCACACCTGCATCGGCAGTGAGGCCTAGGAGGACAAGATCGTTGGAGGGCATCTTCTGGAGTTTAGCACCTCCCGTCTTGTGCTTGTAAATTCACACGGGCCATGAAACCATTCACGGCTAGCAGGCTGTGTTAATCTTGGTGGCTCACAAGCTGTGCAGATCTTTCTTCATTGCGCAGTAGGGGAGTCCATAAAGCTGAAAGGTGCCAGAAATAGTGGGGCTGTGAGGTGAGAAAAATACAGTAACGGATGGTATATTGTATTTGTGAAAGTGTACAAAGTGCTTTTTCTTTTTGCTCTCTCCGGGATGATGCCCTCCTCCCCCCCGTTGCCAGATTTAGTGGCATTTTAATGTTACAGGGAACCCTCAAAGGGTGCTTCCTCAGACCTGACGGAAGAGGTGCATCTTTGGGGCAAGTTGTGTGTTCTGTTGTGTCAGACGAATGGCAGCCAGCCTCTAGACGGCACCTGGAAATCTCCTGCTATTACAGTTGATTTTAAGGCAATCAAGATAAGTTGCCTTTAGTCCATCAGAGGCTATTAGCCACAAGGTATAGATAGGAGCTCTCAATCTGAGGCAAGGGATGCTCTGTATTCTTCATGCTTGGGGGGAGGGCAACAGTGGGAGGGCTTCTAGTGTCCTGGCCCCATTGGTGGACCTCCTGATGGCACCTGCTGTTTTTGGCCACTGTGTGACAGAGCGTTGGACTGGATGGGCCATTGGCCTGATCCGACATTGGCGTCTCTTATGTTCTTATGCCCTGGAGAAAGGAGAGCGGACTCTGTGGCACCATACCCTGCTGAAGTCCACCCCCTCCCCAAACCTCATCCTCTTCAGTCTCCACCCCCAAATCCTCCAGGTATTTCCCGACCCAGACATTCCGATGGGAATGCCTGCAGATGTCATGGAACGAGGGTTTCCCCGGGGATTTCCCTCGCCTTCAGAGGAGAGCAGCATGTGCTTCCCGAGAAGAACCTTGAAGACATGACTGCCCTGGGGCAGGTCTGGCGTTGAAGGGAAAAGGAGGAGCAGGGGATTTATAAACCCACTTCCTTGTGAATGCTGGGATTAATGCACAAGGCATTAATCCGTCCCTGTGGTAGCCAGGTGCTGGGCTAGCGGGAGACACCGAGGCAAGGCCTCTGAGCTTGGAAGGGGAGCTGAGGGTCCTGATCCCTTCAGTGGGGAATCCCTATGCTGATCAGGTGGTGGCAGCAGCTGCTGGAGAGTAACAGGGAAAGCCCCTCCAGGGAGCTGGGAACCCCCCAGGAGGGCAAGGCAGAATGGGACCTGCACGCCAGGCCATCTAGTCTGTCCCCCTGCTCAATGCAGGATCAGCCTAAAGCATCCCTGACAAGTGTTTGTCCAGCCATTGCCTGAAGACTGCCGGTGACTCATAAGAACATAAGAGATGCTAATGTTGGATCAGGCCAAAGGCCCATCCAGTCCAACACTCTGTATCCCACAGTGGCCAGAAATACCAGTGCCATCAGGAGGTCCACCAGTGGGGCCAGGACATTAGAAGCCCTCCCACTGTTGACCCCCCCCAAGCACCAAGATGACAGAGCATCACTTGCCCCAGAGTCCCTATCTATACCTTGTGGCTAATAGCCACTGATGGACCTCTGCTCCATATGCTTATCTAATTCCCTTTTGAAGCCGTCCATGCTTGTAGCTGCCACCACTTCCTGTGGCAGTGAATTCCAAGTGTTAATCCCTAGCAGTGTTCCCTCTAAGCTGAGTTAATGTGAGCTAGCTGACAGTTTTTTAGCCCCTGGCTCACACAATTTTGTCTTTGCTCAGGAAGGGTGGCTCCAGAGCAAATTAATTTATACAGCAGCCAAATCACTCGCTCACAACTTTAATGCCTGTAGCTCACAAAGGAGAATTTTTGCTCACAAGGCTCCACAGCTTAGAGGGAGCATTGCTCCCTAGGCGGCCAAATATACTGCTGAACAAAAATAAATAAATCCTAATGTCAGTTGATACCTTTCTACCACTAATTTAAACTCATTTTGTGAGTCCTATCCTCTGCTGCCAACAGGAACAGCTCCCTGCCCTCCTCTAAGTGTCAGACTTCAAGAGAGCAATCATGCCCCCCCACCTCCTCTTATCCAGATTAAACTTTCCCAAGTCCCTCAGCCATTCCTCGTAGGACTTGGTCTCCAGGCCCCCAATCATCCTTGTCACTCTCCTCTGCACCCGCTCCATTCTGTACACATCCTTTTTGAAGTAGGGTCTCCAAAACTGTACACAGTACTCCAGGGGCAGCTTGAGCAATGTGGTGTACAGCAGGACAATGACGTTTTGCGATTTGGATGTTATGCCTCTGTTGATATGTTCCAAGATCGCATTAGCCCTTTTTGCTGCTGCATCACTCTGACTGCTCATATTTAGCTTACAGTCCTCCTGTACACCAAGATCTTGTTCACACACACTGCTATCTAGAAGTGTATCCTACATCCAGTATGTGTGCTTCTCATTTTTGTTACCCAGATGTAGAACTCGGCACTTATCCTTGTTGAATTGTGTCTTGTTCATATCCAGGCACATTCCCAGTGCATTCAGGTCTCATTGAACTCTATTTATGTCTTCTGGTGTGTTTGTGGCTCCTCCCAGTTTGCTGTCATCAGCAAATTTAACAAGCAGTCCCTTCCTCCCTCCCCTCATCCAGTTCATTTATAAAAATGTTGAAAAGAACCGGGCCCAAAACCAAGCCCTGTGACACCCCACTGGATACTTCCCTCCAATCAGATTTCCAGCATTTGAATCCCATTTCTAGTCATGTTTGTTTGTTAAGTAATACATTCTTCTTATTCACCACTCGGGTCTTGTTAATTTTTGTTCCTGTAGTGCCCGACAGCGACCAGAGCGACTTTTGGCATCCATCTTAAAGTCGTTGGGGATTGGACAGGTATGTGAAACATAGCCCAGGTAAATTGTTGTGACTCCGTTTTGCCTCATCAGCATCCATGCACGCACCATTTCAATTCAGAAATAAATCAGTTGTCTAATTTGAAGTCCATTTACTTATCTCCCCCCTCCTTTGCACTCGTTACCATTGGAGGAGCGGATGTCTTTATTTGTGCTGTTAGATGACGGATTATTATTCACCTGGGCAAGGCATTCAGATTGTCATGTTCGTTATTAGTAATGTGTTGGTCTCAGCTTGGCTTTTAAAAAATTTTCCAATAAAATATATATTTTTTTCTGCTCAGTAACCTGCTTGCCTCTGGGCCACATATGCTGACAGCGGTACAAGTGCAGAAATGTGCTTTTCCTAGATAAGGGGATTTTTTAATAGCAACCATTTGGTCAGCTTCCTGATTACTTAACACCAGTGTCACACTGAGATTACCAAAGAGCTTTCATCTTGTGGTACGCGACTCTCGTGGGCTGTGAATGTATTCCCCCCCCCCCAGCCCATCGGGGTCCTCTGGGATTCCACCGAGGAGAGAATTGTAATTTCATTTTTGGTACAAGGCTGGCTGGATATCGAAGGGAATATTGGATGAAACCTGTTCATAGTGTAGGAGAGATCGAAAGCAAGATATACGTGGGGCAGCAAGCACATCGCTGGTTATTGAAGATCTTCCAGATAAATGAATTCTTACTTTCTTGAAGCTTGGTCTGTGTACTATCCGGGAAGTGAACATGATAAGGTCCAGAGTACACGACAGTCAGTAGGGTAAGCCACCATGCTTCATTTGTGTTTGGCTTCCACATTGTCTTGGTCGCCTATGTAGCCAAGCTATCACATGGGGCCACATAGAGAGCCAGTTTGGTGTAGTGGTTAAGTGCGTGGACTCTAATCTGGGAGAACCGGGTTTGATTCCCCACTCCTTCACATGCAGCTGCTGGTGTGACCTTGGGTCAGTCACAAGTTCTCTCAGAGCTGTTCTCTCAAGAGCAGTCCTTGAAAGAGCTCTCTCAGGCCTACCTAGAAGAAGAAGAAGAGATTGGATTTATACCCCGCCCTTCACTCAGAGGCTCAAAGTGGTTTACAAACTCCTTTCCTTCCCCCTCCCCACAACAGACACCCTGTGAGGTAGGTGGGGCTGAGAGAGCTCTGACAGAAATTGCTCTTTTCAAGGACAGCTCTGACAGAACTATGGCTTGCCCAAGGCCATCTAGCAGCTGCAAGTGGAGGAGTGGGGAATCAAACCCGGTTCTCCCAGATTAGAGTCCACGCACTTAACCACTACACCAAGCTGGGTGTCTGTAGTGGGGAGGGGGAAGGGAAAGAAGATTGTAAGCTGCTGTGAGACTGCAAGTGAAGGGCAAGGTATAAATCTAATCTCCTTCTCTCTCCTTCTTCTTCTTCTTGATACTGGTTTGGGATGGAGTGATGTAATCAGGACTGTATCAACTGGTTGGCCTCTGAGTATGTTGCTTTGGCAACATTGGAGATGGCTGTGGGGAAATGGTTTTCTGGGGAAGCCAAGCTCTCCCAAAAATGTATGGATCAGATACGTTAGAGTAAAGGTCCCTAACCTTTTTTTGAGCCTTTTGGGACAGCACTGGAATTCTGTCACCATGTGGTGGCGCAGCCACAAAATGGCTGCCACGGGAGCCTCCCACAGTTTTACCTTCAGTCACGCAGCGAAGATCGTTGTCCTGTAGTAGGAGCTGCCTCCAGGTTGATGCTTTCCAAAACCTACACAACCAATCAAGTCTGTCATGGCCAATCAGAAGTCTCTCTGGGTAGAAGCCCCACTTGGCCCCGCCCTCTGGCCCTGTGCCAAGAAAGATACCAGTGGGTGCCATGCCATCCACGGGCATCATATGGGGGGACCTCTGCATCACAGCAGTCTTCTTGTCTGGCTTTGCCAGTGAAAAGTCTTATCCAAAGCCAATTGTGCTTCACCCGTATGTCTCCTTCAGAACATTGTTCAGAAATGGGTTTGAAAATCCATGGCCATGGAAATACCACACATTATTGTTTTTATTTATTTGGGGAATGTATATGCCTCCTCTCTGTTGACTAGAGAGCCAGTTTGGTGTAGTGGTGAGGAGTGCGAACTCTAATCTGGGACAACCGGGTTTTATTCCCCACTCCTCCACATGCAGCCAGCTGGGTGACCTCGGGTCAGTCACAGTTCTCTCAGAGCTGTTCTCTCAGGAGGCATTCTCGAGACAGCTCTCTCAGCCCCACCTACCTCACAGGGTGTCTGCTGTGGGGAGGGGAAGGGAAAGGAGTTTGTAAGCCGCTCTGAGACTCCTTCGGGTAGTGAAAGGCTGGGTATAAATCCAATCTCCTCCTCCTCCTCTCCAGAGTCCTGCTCGAGATGGTTTACCAGTAAAAACAACACCCTAAAATCATGAAAAGCACCCTACGTTCTCAATAGAAAAACAAAACATGATAACAAGTAGAGAACTACAAACCAACACCTTTTGGTAGTCCCCGGCCCCAGGGACGTCTGACTCGCCTCAATTAGGGCCTGGGCCTTTTCAGCCCTGGCCCCTACCTGGTGGAATGAGCTCCCATATGAGATCAAGACCCTGTGAGATTTATTACAATTCCGCAGGGCCTGCAAGACGGAGCTCTTCCGCCGGGCTTTTAGTTGAGGCAGTGGCCATCGCCCCCGCCCTTTTTTGGTTGGCCTCCCGTCAGTGTCCTGGATTTGAACAGCCAACTAGGAACTACACTATCATTCTGTTTTAACTACCGAGTTATTGATTAGATCTTGCACGGTATTTTATGCTTTTATTATTATTTTATTGTTTTAATCGTGTTGTTTTAAATTGGTTTTAATCGTTATTGAATATTGTCTTATCATTGATGGAACCCGCCCTGAGCCTGCTTGCGGGGAGGGCAGGATGCATGATTAATAAAATAAAAAATAAAATAAGTCGGGGGCAGAAAGATAGAACAGCTGTTGAGCACCCTAAAAAACATCATTGTAACACACCAAATGCAGACTGTAAAAAGGCTAAAAAGGTAAAATTGCTTGGTTACAAGCCTAAATAAAAGAAACATTTTGGCCTGGCACCTAGAAGTATGGTAGGTGCCAGGCGAGCCTCAAGAGGGAGGGCATTCTGAAGGCAATATTTGCCTTATCTGGAAAAAAGGCTGTCACGTGGTTCTGTGTAACAGGCTGAGAGAATGGAACATATAACAAGCTGTTTTATCCAGAGGCAGATCAATGGCATGCTTTGTTGTTGTTGTTGTTCAGTTGCACAGTCGAGTCCAACTCTTCGCAACCCCATGGACCACATCACACCAGGCCCTCCTGGCTTCCGTCATGCTCCGGAGTTTGCTTAATTTCATGTTCGTTGCTTCGATAACACTGTCTAACCATCTCATCCTTTGCCGTCCCCGTCTTCTTTGACCTTCCGTCTTTCCCAGAATCGGGGTCTTCCCCAGTGAGTGCTCCCTTCTCATTTGGTGGCCAAAGTATTTGAGCTTCAGCTTCAGTATCTGGCCTTCCAGGGAACAGTCAGGGTTGATTTCTTTTAGGACTGACTGGTTTGATCTCCTTGCAGTCCAAGGGACTCTCAAGTGTCCTCTCCAGCACCATAGTTCAAAAGAATCTATTCTTCAGCTCTCAGCCTTCCTTATGGTCCAACTCTCACAGCCCTACATAGCCATACATGGCATATTTAGCTTGGTACTATCTGATTAGACTGGATGCGACTCACCAAGGTCTTGGGCAGAGGAAGGTCTTGGAACTGGAGATTAAACCTTGCATCTTCTGGTTGCAAAACAGGTACTGTGCACCTGAGCCACAGCCTTCTCCCAGGATCCCACATCACATATTTATTTATTTCATTAGGTTTCTATACCTAAAGATTGGGAAGGCTGCAATACCATCTCGAAGAGTTTGGCAAAACTCTCTAATCCTGAAGCAGAACTAAAAATTGATTTGGATTTTGATAAGAGGAAAGGAAATTGCAAAATAGATTAACTCTGATAGCCTGCTGTTTATTTTAATGCATAACTTCAGTTTTATGATATTCGCACCTTAGTTAGAGACTGTGATTGCTTGCTTGAGAGCCAGTTTGGTGTAGTGGTTAAGTGTGCGGCCTCTAATCTGGGAGAACCGGGTTTGATTCCCCACTCCTCCACTTGCACCTGGCTGGATGCCCTTGGGCAAGCCACAGTTCTGGCACAGCTGTTCTTGAAAAAGAGCAATTTGTGTCAGAGTTCTCTCAGCCCCACCCACCTCACAGGGTGTCTGTGGTGGGGAGGGGAAGGAGTTTGTAAGCCGCTCTGAGACTCCAAGTGAAGGGCAGGGTATAAATCCAATCTCTTCTTCTTCTTGCTTGACATTTTTGCATTAGTAATCTTCATGTTCTACTACTATGATAACAGAGACGTATCACTAACTTTATACGTCTGTATTATGGATCCTTGTTACTCTTTATTTTAGGCTCTTCCATCACCCTGACCCTGTAGTTTTGTAGATTAGAAAATTTAAAAATTTAAGAGAGAGAAAAAAAAAAAAAGGGTTTCCCGTGAGCGGTCTCAGGGTGGTGCACAGCAATTCCTATAAATACATACTATACATTAAGCAATCTAAAATCCTGATCCATAAAAACCAAACATCTACGTGATGCCAATAATTTCTGACACACTCCCCCCATTTACAATTGAACCGGGGTTGAACCGGGGGAGTGTGAAAGGCAGTTAATGAGCCGGATAGCTGTTAAAAACCGTTAAAGCAGTTGCTGTCCTCAACCATATGCTTGGGGGAACATCTCTGCCTTGCAGGCCCTGCGAAATTGTAACAAGTCCCGCAGGGCCCTGATGTTAGTAGGCAGAGAGTTCCACCACGTCCGAGGCAGGGCTCTGAGGCTGATGCAGTGACCTCACGGTGTTTCTGTGACGACGCCACCCCCCCACCACCAGTATGTCTTGTCACTCTGCGTCTTCACTTTCTGACAAACGGCAGCGGAATGTGTGAATGATGA